CATGTGCTAAAGAAGGTAAATTGATCAATTTCATCTTTACAGATTTGCTTGCGAGTAGTTTGTGGCAGGTAATACACCCTACCACACTGCTCCTGTTTGCTTAGGACTTTACAGTTTGCAAAAAGCTGTTCTATATGCAAGCTGGCTGGATTCTCACAAGCATAGCAGAAAGGCAGGGAAGAGAGGAAAACAGGGTCCTCAGAGACGTTAAGCAACGTCCGAGACCGCCCAGCTGCTACATAGAATTGTGCGTCTAGAACTAGACTGCACGTCTCCTGGGTGCTGGCAGCCTTGCCACATCGCACTCGGCTGGTAAAACAGACCGTTGCAGAGGCAGCTTGGGGTGGTCAGAAGAAGGGCAGGGCCCACACTTCAGGGTTCAAATCCTGATTCCTGGATAGGCATCCAATTGTCCAGTTTTCAATTTCTTCGATTTTAAGCCGTGCCTATTTCAGAGCTTGTAGTCAGGATGAAATGGGATTCTGTATATAAAAGTGCAGGGCCCAGGCCGAGCAAAGGGCTAAGTGTTCATTTTTGCAGGTCTTGGGAGTTGTAAGCACTTACGATCAAGGTCTGTTTATCTCCCAGTGTTCTCGAACCCTGGCTGAATGTCTGACATCTCAGGCATCTCCATTATCTCCAGGCAATCCAGAAAATTAAAAAGAAATTTCTCTAATGCACTTGCATTAAGAAACCTGAATATGTGCTCTGTAGCTTTCGGAGGAAGTCGCATGCTAGGACTGAAGCGCTCTTGCAGGGCGGCATGGCGCGGGCCCGCCCTGCTGCACGGCACCCTCAGCAGGCCTTCCACACCCACGTCCTTGGGCCCAAATCCAGCTGTTTGTGGAAAGGGCAATGCAGAGCCACAACCCACTTTACACGCCTCCTCCAGGGTGGTGTGTAGAAGATCTGCCTCCGTGTGCTTCGTGCTATCGGAGTGCGAGCCTTACCAGTGGTGGGCTCCAAAACAGTGTGCAGGTCAGGGCGAAGGCCTTGTGTTCCTGGGAGTTACATGAACAATGAAGTGACATTGAATCTATAAATAAGATCCAGAGCACATGCAGTTCTTGAAACTTCCCTTTTCAGTACAAACCAGATTGGTAGAGACAGGAACAAGCTCTGGTGACTTATTTCAGTGGCTTAGAAAACATTGCCCTCGTGTTATGGCTGAGACAGGGACGCCACCAGCTTTATGGCTTGCAGGGAGTACCCCCTATTAAGTTGCACACAGCCCTCTCGGCCTTGCATTTATTGCCTCGTGTGCAGTCTCCCTCCTTTCATTTGGCTCGCCTGTGAAAAATGCTTTATCGCATAACTGTAGTGGTTGTGTTGGTTCTGAGAGCTTTCTTTCTCAGAGGCTGAACCACATGTTCAGCGCTTGCTTTAAAACTTGAGGTGATATAAATAGAACATTGGGAATCCTTGATCGCTGAAAAATGTGAAAGTTGACCAACCTATGTTTGGCCAAAGCCTGCTTGGGAGGGAAATGTCCTTACATAGAAGCAGTCTCGGGAAGCCTCCATCATCTCACTTTGTGGTGTGAACCTCAAGGTGCACATACTGTCAGCATGTCTGTGTGTCCTCAAAATGTTAATACTCACAGTTGGTGCATTCCTTTTTCTCAACCTTATTTCAGAATGACTCGAGTCTGGTATGTTCCCGTTACCTTCAGCATTGCAGAGCAACCAATCTCTATCTTGACTTAAGAAACATCAAGAGAAACCATGACAGGTACTTAAGTGGTTGATGTTAAAATCTAATGGAAATTCTGAAATATTTTCGGGCCCAGGGATACGCCTTGGGTTTGCTTCCTAAGGATATGGCGATGAGGCTGGGACACATGGGGAATGGGAGGCTCGGATTGGCCACGAGTTGATCGCTGTGAAGCTGGATTATGGGTCCCTCAGCCTCCTGTACCATTCTGCTACTTTGTATACATTTAATATATTCTATTGTAAAGAGTTAAATTCAGATGAAAAACTGATTTGGTTACAACTCATGTGCTTAAGTCATGAAAAAATTTTCCAGGCTCAAATAAATATTTTGTTACCACCAGATTTAAGGAAGATTTTTTCCAGACTGGTGAGATTGGAGGACACTGTAAACTGGACACTCGAACATTGATGTCTGAAGGTCAGCGCAAAAGCCCTCTGCAGTCTTGGTGAGATTTTTTTTTTTTACTGTGCTTGTAAAATATCTGCCTTTATTTCTGGCACTTGCAGATTTTGGTAGGGACTTTCAAATGGAAAACTTGACTTCATTTCTGAAGAATTTGGCATGAGCTTTCAGGGAGGGAGTGGTGGCTGCAGAGCAAATCTGCCAGTTATATCTGAATCAAATACATGTTTATAAAATATTAGGAAGTATGATATAGTGCTTGCTGTTTGCTAATGAAAGAAAAAAATTAGTTCAAAAATAATGAATTTTTATTAACTCCTCATAATTGCTATGTTTTGGGGAATACACTTTTAAAAGAAATACATGTGTTTAAGTATATGGAGAAGTATACAGTTTGGATTATGAACGAGTGAACCTACCTGTGTAATTCTTACCCAGGTCAAAAATAGACCATCATCAGCACCCCACGCTCTCTCCCAGTCACAACCCCATCCACCTCTCCAAAGGTGAACACTATCCTGAACACAACCATTCATCAGCTTTTTGAACTTTATATAAATTGGGGGATACATTTTAATGTAAAACATTTTCACAATTAAACTAGCTCTGTATTTATCAAGAAAGTTACCATCTCTAGAAATTAAGGAATTAGGGTAATATAAAAAACTTTTTATTTTAAAATACTTTTAGACTCATAGAAGTTTAAAAATAGTACAAGGAGTCCCCATTGCAGCCTTTCCCTGGCTTCCCAGTGTGATGGCAGCTTACATAACCATAGTACTATGATCAAAACCAGGAAATTGACATTGGTTTAATAATAATTTACACACTTGGATTTTAGCAGTGCTTATATACTTTCATTTTTTCGGGAGGTGCAGTTCTATGAGATTGACATCACACCTACCACACTTAGGATACAGACCTGTTCCAGCATCCCAGTGAGGCGCTCATGCGCTGCTTTGTAGCCTGAGGCTCTGGGCACCTGCTGCTGATGTGTGTGGGCGACTTCCACACACCACCACGCAGCTCTCTGAAACCACCCGGGTGTCCTACCGTTCAGCTCGGTTCTGAAACTGTGTCCCACAGGTTAAGGGCTCAGCCCCACAAGGCTCCCCCAGTCCCAAGGCCCCAGTCCCAAGGCCCGGTTGTCACATGTGTGCTCTGACAAATCAGCTATAGGTAGGAGCATCTAATGGTTCCCTTCTTGGGTTTAGTTTGCTCAAGCAGCTCACAGAACTCTGAGGAACATTTTACTTATTATGTGGTTTATTATAAAAGCATTTGGCTCCGGAGCACCAGATGGAAGAAATGCAAGGTGTGGGCAAGGGGTGCCGAGCTCCTGGCACACCAATCTCTCTAGATCTCTAAGTCTTCCCCAGCCCGGAAGCTCTCCTTTTAGTTTTTACCCACGATTCATTATATAGGATTGTGGATAGATTCTACCTCTGGCCTGTTTTCCCCAGACGCCAGGAGGTGGGACTAAAAATTCAAACCTCTAACCACAGGGCTGCTTCTTCTGGCAACAAGCCCCAGCTTTCAGGGTGGTCCAGAAGCTACCTCATTAACACAACAAGAGACACCTTAATGACTCATGACCTCAGAAATCCTAAGGGTTTCAGGAGCTCTGTGCCAGAAATGGGGATGAAGACCTAATATTGTAATATTATTATAAATCACGATGTCACAAGTCATATAGGATACTATTATGCTAATTTTTGAGGTCATTCATTCTAAGCAAATCCTTCAGGATAATAACCTACCAAACATTTGTATGGCATTTTACAGTCGGCAATGTAGTATCTTCTTTGACTTAACGGAGTTTTGCAGTAGGAGTTCCTGTATTCTAGTGGGTATTTTTAGTCCTAGGACATTTTGATATCTGATTTCACATGGTAGTTGCATAGGGTATATTTGTATTAGTTATTTATTGCCATACAACAGAGTACTCCAAAATATACGCCTAGAGTATATTTGTATTCATTATCTATTGCTGTGTGGCAAACTACTCCAAAATTGGGCAGTTTAAGATGACAGACATTCATTATTTCACAGTTTCTGATGGTCAGGATTTGGAGGCAGCCAGGCTGGGCGCTCCGGCTCAGGGTCCCTCACAAGGCCCCAGTGCAGTCGTTGACAAGGCTGGAGTCATCTCTACATTCAACTGGGCCTGGAGAGTCTGCTTCTGAGCTCACTCACGTTGTAAAGTGACAAACAAATGACAGCTTGATATCCCTTTAGCAAAATACGTTTATTTGGGTATAATAAAGAATTGCAGTTAAGGACATGCACTCTAATGGTGAACGGTGCCCAAGTCTAGAGAACAAAGGAGAGGAACATTATTTTATAGAGAAAAGAGGAAGCTTAGAGGGGTGGTTGTAAATGAGGAGCCCACTGGAAGAAACGGAGTTGGAAGTGCAGCAGTTTTTCGTTGGCTGGGCTGTTTTTGTCTTTCTGTGGCTGAGTGGTTCCCTAGGTGAGAAGATCTCCCCCTTGCCGAGGCAGGGGTAGTGCAGTGAAACGTTCTCCTGTGCAGATGGACGTTTCTCCCTGGGTGGGGAGAATGACCATGACTGGTAGAGCATGAGAGCTCCCCAGCTCCCCAACAGGCCCTCCCAACTCCAATTTAAATGAGTTTTCTGTTAACTAATCTTCACGTAAGTTTCAGTTTCTCTCTGGCTATTGGTAGGAGGCGTCATTTGTTGCCACAAGGGCCTCTCCCTAGTGCTACTCAACAGCATTGGCAGCCAGGCTCCCCAAGAGAGCACGAGGTGAGAGAGAGACAGACAGACAGACAGGGAGAGACAGCCAGCATGCCCCTATCTCAGAGGTGACACACCATCACTTCTGCCACACTATGCTCATCAGAAGTGAGTCACTAGGTCCAGCCCACCTATCAAAGAATTGTGGACATACTTTTGAAACCACAATATTTCACTGTTGTGTGTGTTTTAAAAGGATCGATTTGATATTTGTTTTACATCAGATGTAGTTTCAAAGATGAAGTGTAACAAATGATCTTCAGGTTAACTCTAAATATCTCCTGTCCCATGCTTGTGATTGTCTTCTTTTATGTGGAAGAAACCTGTGCCATGTGGCTTCCAAAGACGTTTTCCAGAAAAACGCTTTCCTTTCTTCTGGGAAGCTCAGCTGTCTGCTGTCTTTCCGAGACCCTCAATAATTCTCGGAATGCGTCTTTCTAGGAATCAAAGAAGCCGGTCACAGAGCCTCCAGGTCAGTGGCCGCTGCGCCTCACCAGACAACAGGAGACCGTGTGAATCACCCCACTTTACCGGGAGACTATTTAGCCAGCTCAGTGTGTGAATTTCTTTTTTGTCTGGAAAGTTACTAGTGTACCTTGCACTGAAGTTTAAAATCATTTTTGTTCCTTGTCTCAGCGTTAAAATCAACAGTAAGTTATGTGAGTGTTAGGAAGCTTGAGAAGTTCCACATGTTTTCCTAAGCCTCTTCTGGACATAAAATCACCCTAATGAACAGATCTCAAGTTATAGTGTTGCGGTAGGAGATTTGGGAGAATCACTTTGAAAGCGTCTCCCAATTTATAATTCCAGGTTTGCTGAGCTCCAGAGCTATACTCAGCTTAACTTCAGACCTATAGAAGATGCTGAGTGTGACGTTGTTGTTGAAAAACCAGCCTACTTCATGAAATTGGATGCAGGTGAGAAGTTAATTTGTCTACAATTTATTAATGAGGCTTTATTCCTTTTTAAAAATTTTTATTTATTGATTTTTTAGAGGAAGAGAGAGGGAGAGAGAAACATCGATTTGTTGTTCACATATTGATGCATCATTGGTTGATTCTTGTATGTGCTCTGACTGGGGATCAACCCCGAAACCTTGGCTCATCAGGACAGCGTTCTAACCATCTAGCTACCTGGCCAGGGCAACGTTCCTTTTTTGATATATTATATATTGATTTCCAATGACCTTTTAGGTCATATGACATTAAACAGTGGATTTGCTTCCGTCTTCTCTGAAGAAATGAACTTGTTTGAATTTCCTTTCATTTAATACCTTTGATATTTTAAAAGAAATCTGCACATTTGTATCAAATGACTCAATGGAATCAGAAGGTGAGAGGTGTGTGTTTACCTTTGTAACTAAAGTTAACCCATCCCCTTTTTCTAAGCACTTGATTTAGACAGCTTTGTTAGGACTTTTTTCAAAGTAAAAGCCACATGTCCAGGTGGGCAGGAAAGGATGCCCATGACCTCTTCTGGCAAACTTTCCCATATCGTTTCCATGACTGAAGCAAACTTAAAATTCCTCTGGAAGTTGGGTTTGCAGCACATTCTTGGAAAAAAGTTGACATTACAGTGACTTTCCCAGTCATGCGTGTAGCTTCTCTCAACTTGCAGGCACAGCTTTAGCTTTGTGAACTTTTTGTTCTACAGAGAGAGACATGAACCACACAGCACTTGCTCCCTGTGAGAGGTGAGGATTACCGTGCCGCACCATTTCAACATTCACGGGAGGCTGGCTCACCGTGACACCCAGGAGAGGGCCCTCTGGCCTGACTATTTGAGAATTACTGTAATTTATTGATCTCATGTATATATATATATATAGGTATATACATATATGTATTCTCATATATATAGATATATACATATATGTATATATATATTTAAATATATCTTTATTGATTTCAGAGAGGAAAGGAGAGAGGGAGAGAGAGATAGAAACATCAGTGATGGGAGAGTCATCATGGATCGGCTGCCTCCTGCATGCCCCTGACTGAGGATCGAGCCTGCAACCCTTCATGTGCCCTGATAGGGAATAGAACTACGATTTCCTGGATCCTAGGTCGACACTCAACCACTGAGCCATGCCTGGCTGGGCTATTGATCATATTTTTAATGTGCTCTGCCTTTTGAAGTCATAATTCTTACATTATAAGTATTAAGTTCGGAAATCAGGCAAGTTTAACTTTTTGAAATAAGAGCAAGTAAAAATGCTATGTTTGATGTCCTGACTCATTTTTAAAATATGCAAATTAGCCCGGCCAGTGTGGCTTAGTGGTTGAGCTTCAACCCATGAACCGGGAGGTCACCGTTCGATTCCTGGTCAGGGCACATGCCCAGGTTTCAGGCTCAATCCCCAGTAGGTGGCATGCAGCAGGCAGCCAATCGATGATTCTCTCTCGTCATTGATGTTTCTCTCCCTTTCCCTTCCNCAGGCAGCCAATTGATGATTCTCTCTCGTCATTGATGTTTCTCTCCCTTTCCCTTCCTCTCTCTGAAATCAATAAAAAAAACAAAAATAAAAAAACCAAAGAAAACAGGCAAATTAAAGGGGGCGAAGAAAACACTGATCTCCGTGTAAAAGGGTCGAACCTGTGTGAACTGTTAAGTTGATGGAGATACTTGTGCAATAGCATATAGCAGGGGGAGTAATCGGCCTGTTCTTTCCCATTCTACATTTGTCTTCTAACGCTATCTTCCAGTTTTCCTTTCCTTTTCTTTTTAAAAAATGTATATTTTCAGTGAAGTTGGTTTATTTTTTTCATTTGCTGATCCATTTATTTTCTTTTTCCCCTTTTCATTGAATTTATTGGGGTGACACTGGTTAACAAAATTATACATGTTTCAGGTGCACAATCCACAGCACGTCATCTGTACACTGCGCTGTGTCCCCACCCCAGGTCAAGTCTCCGTCCCAGTTTCTCTTTCATAATGACTCTCACCTGGAGAGAATGGGCATGCTGAAGAACAGGACTCACGAGGGGGCACGTTTCTTGAGGACGGAGCCTGCGACTTGTCCCTGGTGGAGAAGTCCCCAGCACACAGGGACAAGTCCCCAGCCCCGTGTGCTGTTCCGTGCCAGCCGCGCTCCGCAGTACATGCTGTGAGCCGCTGAGTGGCGCAGGAGAGCCGCCCCGCGCACCGGGCTAACCTGGGAAGAGGGCTGTGCTGGAATAGAAGTTTCTTTTTATTTATTTGAAAACATACTCTTCACCAAGATTTCTCTGGATGAAAAAGGAGCCCCTCCAAACATCCATGTAAATTACTCTAAAAAGAACTGAGTACTTTTGAACTCATTCTCTGGCATGCAGTGTGGTCACTCACTGTGTGAGTGGAGTCAGAGTAGTTCACAATTTCTGCTTTTAGGAGTCACTTTTTCTTTTAATAAACATTTTCTTCCTTTGAGGTGCATGTTTTAAATGTCAGTTCCTGGAATTTCACCCTCTTTAGATTTGCGCATTTCCAGGTGGGGTCCTGGGTCCTG